TCAGGGGAATTTTATTCAGTATTCAGGCGACCCGCTGCAGGATTTCACACTCATGAGATTCTTGGATCGATTTGTTTACCGAAATCCAAAGCCACACAAGGGCAAAGGTATGCCGCTTCCATTTAGTAACTTTGGTTTTCGTTGCTAGGGTTTAGTGAGTGAATGAACAGACAACTACGTTAGACTGTCATGATTTACATTTCAGAAAACACCGACAGTGTTGTGATGCAGCCGAAGAGGAAACACTTTATAACGGATGTCCGTAATCTCGCTGGTAAGCACGGAGTCTGCGCAGTTGAAACCAAAAGGATAGCAGAAGACAATGCTGCACAAATTATATTCTTTGACCTATTTTATCCTGATAAAAATTTCAAGCATATCCAAAGTAAATAAAATTATGGACCCTCTGGCAGCCATTCCCCAGCCTCAGCAGTTACACCGTTCTGCCTTGCTCAGATCACGTAGCTCTGTCAGTAACCCAATGTTTATAATTCATATCTGCTGCAGTTCAGGCCATCTTAGACTCTTCTAGGACTGGCTGAGGAAAACAGAAAATGCACAGCTAACTTTTTCATGCAGCATCATTGTCAATGTAGATAGTGTCCTCCTGGACATGTATTGAGTGCCAATCTTCTCTATTCAGAGAAGACATTTCTTCATATACCACGTCCCAGAAATTAGAACTTAGAAGTTCTAGTTATTCCCAGCCAGCCTTCCAGAAGTCCAGAAATGTCAATAGGATTACTCAGAGGTAGTTAGAATTGTAAGCCAAATCTTTACATCAGGTCAGAAATTCTAATTCTATAGAAGAAGAGCTAATGTCCGTGAATTTTCCTTTGTTAGTTTCCTCAGTATTAAGTAAAATTATGGGAAGTTCTGTTGATGATTCTTTCCTGTTTTAGAATTCCAAGCATTATTGCACTTTATTTTAGATACATTATTGTGTGCTGTAATCCTGCATGTGGGTGGGAGAAGCAGGAGTTAGGGTCATCCTCAGTTACTACACTGAGTTTAAGGCCAGCCTGAGCTGTAGAAGACCCTGTCTCAAAAACAAAACAAGTGGGGTTAGGGTGGCAGCTTGAGAAGAACTCCGAGGGCTCAGTGGTGAGCTCATGGTTAAGAGCACGCGCTGCGCTGGCAAAGGAAGGACCCAGGTTGGTTCTCAGCGCTCCCACTAGGTGTCTCACAACCACCTGGGACTTTTCGGCTCTACGAGACACCTGCAGTCACATGCCCATGCCCATACATCCAAATAAAAGTAAACCTTCTAGAATAGTTTCTCTTGAAACGTGTGTCTTGAGTGCAGTTGGAGAACAGTGAGAGAGTCTGTTCCTCCACGGTGCCTGTGTTCTGACTGTTCTTCTCTCCAGACAGCCAAGAGTCTGGGGCGTGGAGACTCTTCCACACACGTCCAGACACCCCTTTCCTCCACTGTCTTGTTTTAGGATTTCAGAACTGCCAGTGTGTTAGATACAGTGCAAGCGCTTGAGTGGCACAGGGGGATGGTCATAATAAAATGCTTCATTTCTACAGTGAATAGTAAAGAGTTCCTTGCGAAAGAAGAAAGCCAGATCCCAGTGGATGAAGTTTTTTTCTACAGGTAAGATACTTAATACAGTATCCTTGGGGACTTTTTAAATGTTTATATTTGATACAGCAATTTATTGATATTGAACTGTTTTGAAAAGATCAGGGTATGTGTCATTTCTTTTTTGAAGGAAATTTAAATTAGTAATTCTGCTACTCCTTGAAATTTTAGTGAAATTGGGCAGCTTGAGGATTTTAATAATGTAGTATGTAAATTTTGGTTTCTGAATCTGACGTGGTGGAACTTTAGGTTTTTGTTTGTTTGGAAACTGTATATTGTCCAAGCTGGCCTCCAACTTGGGATCCTTTTGCCTCCACCTCCCATGTGCTACCACACCTGGATTATTTTTCTTATTAGGTAGTGGTTCTTTCAGTCTTTATTTGTGTTGGTTTACTATAGTAGTAACTCGAATAATTTGTCTAGGCCGTGAGCCCTCAAGCAGAACCAGAGAAGGTCATTGTGAAGCTGTAGTGAGCTCGAAAATTACTACTGATGCCGTTAGTACCTGGTTGACTACTTAACTAGATTTAATCTAAATTGCTTTAAAAAGAACTTACTGTGAATAATTTTGTGGGTTGATGCCGTCTGGAAAGTAAATTATTATGCTTCACATTTCAAAACTTTATAGCTGTTTTGTTTAACTCAAAACACTTCTTATATTAAATACAAATTTTACTCATTTGAGTATCCAGTAACACACTTTTAGAGTTATAATTTGCCTTTAGTCATAAATTATGCAGATATGTAATATGCATTTTATTTTAGGTATTATAAGAAAGTTGCTGTTATTAAAGAGAAACAGAAACGCAATGCAGGTGAAGGTAGTATAGAAGATGTTGATGATGAAGAATTTGAAAATATGATTGGTAATTTGTTTTTCTTTACTCAGTTTGTAAAATTATTACTATTAATAGAATGTAGAACATTAGTGGTAAAAGTGAACTTAGTTTTTAGAAATCACTGCTCTGCAGATTATAGTGGAAGATTGAGAAATAACATGTAGTAACTTGCTCATACCTGTCCTAGAAGAATACATTATTATGCTTTGAACAGTGTGGGAGAAAATTCTATTTACAAGAGTGTTTCATTCCTAAGACCAAGTCTGATGAGGCAGAGACTGTTTATTGTTCATAATCTCGTACTTCTGTCATTGGCAATGCCCTGCTGTTGGATCGTTTGCGTCTTCATTATCCACACAGCTTGGGAATCTTTAACTGAATGTCATCAGATGAGACAGTACATGAAATGGAAGGGCTTAGTTTGATGTCACTGTCACAGCCTGCACTTAGTAAAAATAAAGTTGTTCTTTTTCGTTTTAGAGATCTCATTGAGCTCATAGGTCTGTGTAAGACACCAGCAGTAGTCCTAATGACAACATTCTGCTGTGGTGACATCCTGATTCTACGTTACAGTTGTCGGGGTATAATGTGTATTGCTCTTGTCCTCTGCCATCTCTTACAATTTTGTGTATCATTTCTCGGGCAGACACATTGGAAGATGATAACTGCTTCACACCTGGGAAGGGTGACATTGACTTTGCCAGGTAAAACTCAACCTTCTCTTTCCTGTTTTCCCAGTATTTCCCAAATTATTGTTCATCAGAACAGGAGACCAGAGAAATCATGTGATCCATTACCAGTGTGTCTTAGTCTCCTGAGCACACTTTAGAAAACACTGCCTTCCTTTACAAGTTTTGAAGTTTGTTTGTTTGTTGTTTCCAGCAATATGAAGAAAACAAAAGGAGCTAAGGAGAACTTGGAAGACTCAGAGAGTAGTGACGATGAGCTTGGGGACCTGGATGATGATGAAGTTTCTCTAGGAAGTATGAATGATGAAGACTTTGAAATGGATGAAGATGGAGGAACATTCATGGATGTTTCAGATGACGAAAATGAAGATGTTCCAGGTACACATTTAAAAATAAATAAGCCGTCAGGCATGGCGGCGCACGCCTTTACTCCCAGCACGTGGGAGGTGGAGGCAGGCGGATCTCAGAGTGAGTTCCAGGACAGCCAGGACTACACAGAGAAACCCTGTCTCGAAAAACCAAAAATAAGTAAGTAAAATAAAAATAAAACCACAAATTACATAGCTTTCTTGATAATTCCTAGACTAGTTTTTAAATACAGGTTTCTATAAAGTAAGACGCATGTCCGTGTTGGATTTTAATTGTAACCAACAGCGTTTCTATAAGTTTCAGTTGAGCTGCTCTTTAACATTAGTATAAGGGGCTGGTGCTGTGGCTCAGTAGTAGAGTGCTTCCTAGAGTGTGTGAGGTCCTGTTTGCAGCCTCAGTACTACCAGAGAAGAGAGAGTGATGAGCTGTTTACCCCAGAAAGTCACTAGTCATATAGTCCACTAGCACAGGGAAAAGATATGTAAACTGTAGATGACACGGGAGCGACCACGGTTGTGTTTGTGCTGTCTCCTGCCTCTTGTCCTTTCACGTACCTCTAGTTACACCTGCTTTGCATCTTGCTTCTTCTGGAGCTCAGCAGCAGATGCTTCTTATTTACACAGTGTTTAAGTATTTGGTCTTGTTAATGGTCATTGAGTAAATGACGTTCTTGCAAACTAAACCAGGGACTCTCAGAGACTGGAGCGTCCTGCACCCTCCAGGCCTGTTCTGTTGGGATTGGAGGACTGTGAACCCACATGGAACAGACACACCAGGCCTTACTGTTGGACTAGACTAGAGCATACTCTGAATTGGTGTTTTCCAGGCTTGTTTTTAAATGGCTTAACAGTAAACTTTTTTGGGTAACAGAATTTGATGAAGTCAGCTCCAAAGCCAGTACTAAGAAAAGCAAGAGAAAGGGTGAAGATAGTTTTGACGTTGCTGGGTCGTTCCAAGGTAAGAAAATGCATTTCATCTCTTCAAACCATGGCAGCTGCCATAGAAGAAGCATTATTGGTCACTATTTTGGGAAATACATGTTTAAAAGTTGGTTTGATACCATTTAGAAGTTTTTTTTCTCAAAGTATCAGTCTTCAGGCACCTTCTGTTTGAGACAAGGGTCTCTCATAGGCCTGGAATTTCACCACGTAGGCCAGGCTAACTGCTCCATGAGATCCTAAGCCCCCGCCTGTCTCTCCTCCTATCTCACCATCACTGGGATCACAGGCACTGCACTAGGTTTTTACAAGGGTTCTGGAGATCTGGACCCTGACTGTCACACTTGTAAGACTAGTGTACCGATGAAACCATCTCCCCAGCCAAGAAAGGTAGATAATGGGGTTTTTTAACGTGAAAAGATATTTCTCACATGCATCCTTAGTTTTGTCCAAGTTCCTTCCTCTCACATTTACGTGTCTCTAGATGATCTTTTCAGTCATGTTTAGAGTCCAATTACATGTGAACGCTAACCATTTTACCACTTTCTTCAAATGCTAATAGACTCAAAACTATAGGTGAGTTTTTAATAGACATTTTATTTTCAATAATATTAAACAAAGTTTATCGATAACACAATAAACATACTTCAGTCAGCTTTTTCAAGCCCAAAGAATAAGACCTGAATTACAATTTATATTTTGCTTCACATACTACAAACTCCATCCATGTCGATGTGGAATTTTAATCCTGATTGATACTGTTGGTTTCTTGTGAGGATAAACTCTGAACAGCAACGAAATCTGAAAAATAGGCATGCACTTTGAATAACCTATACACAATTTTTTTTTCTTTTTTTTTTTAAGGACCAAAGAAAAAAAAGAAAAGTTTCGATGACTCCAGCCTGTTTGTCTCTGCTGAGGAGGTAACACTAAGCTAATCCACTGTCTTAAGAGAGCAGCTGTTTACATTCTTTTCAAGTTTTCTGATAAGCTTCCTCACCCTTCCTTGCTTTTGTTTTTTCTTTTAAGTTTGGCCATCTGTTGGATGAAAACATGGGATCCAAGTTTGATAATATTGGCATGAACGCCATGGCTAACAAAGATAATGCAAGTAAGTAAGCTGACTGTCGCCCCAGGGCGGGCTTGTGTAGCCCAGGCTTCCTTAAACTTCCTATATAGCCCAGGCTGGCCTTGAGGTCTTGATCTTCCACCTCCCAAGCAGTAGGATTACAAGTGTGCGCTACCTGGTTACCTTAAATTTGTCAATCAAGTTTTTTAAATGGCATTTCCTTGTAGGTGTCCTTAAATGGCAGAAAACTTGCTTGTCACATAGCAAGACATTTAAGCCACACAAACAAACTACAAACTCAAACGGTTTTTTTCTTGAAGAGTCGGTCTGTTTTATTCTGACTTGTATGAAGGTTTGCTCTTATATGATTCAACATCTTTTTCATTATTTCTGATGTTCCTAGTTTATATTCTTGCATTTGTAAAATACTCAGAAAATAAAGGAGAGAGCCAACAGTGGGTTTTCACGGTGGGTGGGAAACCACAGGCCATGCAGCCTGAAGTTGAGTTACACTCAGGACTTTCTGTGGGAGTCCAGTCTACAGTGGCATGGACTCATCTTTCTTTTCCCCTTAAAGGTTTCAAACAGCTGAAGTGGGAAGCTGAGCGTGATGATTGGCTGCACAACAGAGATGTGAAAAGTATCATCAAGAAGAAGAAAAATTTCAAGAAGATGAAGAAAATCCCTCAAAAACCCAAACGGCAAAGGAAATGAGAGCTTCAGAGTGAATTAAGGTTCTACTCACCCTTAGTTTTTGCTCTCCAACCACTTTTCTTGATCACCCTCTCTAACTCCATATAATCCAGACCGTTCAATGGATTTGTAATAAACTATAGAAACAAAATGCTGTCATTTATAAAATCATGCAGAAGTTGAACTTACATTGAAACACTCCTTCCAAATTGCTACATGACAAAATAAAAAGGACAGCAGGCCCCATATTCACGTGCAAGCTCCTAACACTGATGAGCTGCTTGTTCGGGACCTGGCAGGCTAGGCTTAGGCAGGGGTGGTGTCGTCTTGTTCAACCCTTAACTGTCGTGATGTAGACATTAGCTCTTTCCACGGAGAAACAGTATGCCTGAGGAAAAGTCTGTTCTAGCAGTAACCTTAAGCCATGGTATGCCCATCACCACCTTAGGTCTCATTCTGGAATCTATATTCTTAACCATTGAAATAAGGCTCCTGCTTGGAGGGTGCGGGGAATAACTCAGTGGTGATCATCTGTAAAGCCTAGGGTTTGATCAACAGAAGAATAAGAATTAAACCAAGAGCTAACTGTTCTCATCTAAGTAACTAGGTGAGTCCTCAGTGTGTGCTCTCAAACCGATAATAAAGTCATTGAGTCCAAAATTGTAAAAGTACCAGAGAGTTTACAGAATATTTTGCACCTGAATTTTTACTTGAAGAAAAACATACCTTCCAAAACGAAGGGAAATGTCTTGCTCATTGTTTGCCTGAAATCTGGTATTTAAAAAAAAAAATTGTATTAATATATTAAGCCACAATTTATATTAGTGGCTATTAGAATTTTGTATTAAGGTCCCCCTGCTAATCCAAGAACTAAATCTTAAAGGATAGGATATGAATTACATTAATCTTAAAATACAGCCTTTAAAGATTATGGACATGCAGTAGTGCCCTGGAACAGTGTCCTAGTGAAGTACCCTGAGGAAGACAAGTGATCAGCTTTAAAGAGAAGTCACCGCCCCAGAGCTGCTTCCTGCTTCAGCTGGAGAAGGAAGTAATGGATAGGAATTACTAACCTTAAAAGCTGGGGGCTGTGATGTAATACAATTTAACAAACTATTACACTGTATTCAGCAACAGCAGGAGAAATGATTTCAGTGCTAATGCTGAGAATGCTGTGGCCTGAGGTGGTGCTGAGCTTATGGTGGTGTTAGCTCTTCCCAGGAATACCAAACAAGTATAACGCAGGCCAAGCTGCCTCCATCAGTTCGATTCTGCGAGGCCATTCAGTTCTGAGTCAGAATAGGAACACTTGCTCTACTTTCCCAGGAAAACCCAGGCTCCCAGTCTGCAAGTCAGATGTGAGCCACCCACTCCACAATAACAACTACCTTCCTCTCCCCCTACCCCACCCATAAAAATGTCTAATAGCTTCAATCTGAAGAAACATTTTGCCCAGAAATGCAACTAGCATTTAGTACAAACCCAGCTAAAAAATCTTAACTACTGAACTGTGTTTACCTTGGCTGGAGTTCATCTTTCTAAACAAAACATAAGCTCCAAAAACACCCACAAGTTCAGCTGCTAAAACGCCTTTGAAGATCTTCCTCGCCAGCGGCTCCATGGTTCGAGCCATCCTAAAATTAACATGAATGAGCAGTTGAAACTTCAGTGGCCACATCTCTAAAGGCCTCCATTCCTGGTTCAGTGCTTTTAGTATGGAACCCAAAAGTTACCAGTATTTGCCTTAGACATTCCTACATACAGGCTCCAATCTCCATGCCTTCGGAGTGTGATAAAACAAGGACCCACAACAGGATAAAGCGTAGAAATTCTGAGGAGACTTACACCTTTTTGCAAAGCAAAAATGGAGGAACTAAGGCTTTTTAGTGTCTGATACAGAATGGGGAAGCCAGTTAGATGAACTTTTTAGCTGATCTAGGAATTCAAATACAACCTAATTATAGGAACAGCATTTGAAGGCCCTTTTGGAAACTGCCCTACAAGAGGAAGGCTATTTTGTAAGTGGTGCCACAGTTCATGCCCTTCCTAGATGGATGTGAAACTAGACAATAAATTAATCCGGTCTCTTCTGAGTATTGGACACTTCAACTGCACCTTCCCCAAAGCAGTGCACATCCCTAAGCTTGCGGTCTGCTTCCCACCCCCCCAGATTTTGACTCAGCCACCCTAGAGTGGGCACCCCAGTAACCTGCTCCTTTGAAGTCATTCCAGTTTTTATACAAGACCCTAGCCCATGAGGTGGTCGCTGACTGGGTGGTGCCCCAGTAAATGGCAAAACTACAGTGACAGAAACCCTCCCTCCCCGTGTGGAAAAACAATCGAGAAAGGGGTGTTAGTGTTGAGCTCTTAGCATGAGTCCCGAGTTTAGTTTCCAACACTCAGGGGGAGGTGTCTTTGAGGAAAACTTACACAGCAAATAAGAATTTGACTTGCTGAGTATATGAAAAAGTTTTAAGCAGTTCAAATAGACGGGCGGCGCACACCTTTAATCCCAGCACTCGGGAGGCAAAGCCAGGCAGATCTCAGTGAGTTTGAGGCCAGCCTGGGCTACAGAGCGAGTTCCAGGACAGCGAAAGCTACACAGAGAAACTCTGTCTCGAAAAAACAAACAAACAAAAACCAGACCGACATGTTACATTCCAAGGCCCTGCACTTCGGGAGGGTTCTACTTAATAATAAAGCCCGTTAGTCACTAGGGGCACACCTGTCCAGACAAGATCCCAGGGAGACCAAAGACTACGCGGCCTTCTTGCACAAGCTGAAACGCAGGTGAAGCTGCCCTACGTGTCCTCCACAGTTGACCAGGAGTAAGGGAAGCTGGCCGGATGCAGGTGATGCAGCCCTGCACGTCCTCCTCCAGGGTGGACCCGGGGTAAAGGAACCCGGCTGGGTGCAGATGAAACTGCCCTGCGCGTCCTCCAGCGGGGGACCCGGGGTAAAGGAACCGGGCCGGGCGCAGGTGATGCAGCCCTGCGCGTCCTGCAGGAGGGGGACCCGGGGTAAAGGAACCCGGCTGGGTGCAGATGAAACTACCCTGCGCGTCCTCCAGCGGGGGACCCGGGATAAAGGAACCCGGCTGGGTGCAGATGAAACTGCCCTGCGCGTCCTCCAGCGGGGGACCCGGGGTAAAGGAACCGGCTGGGTGCAGGTGAAACTGCCCTGCGTGTCCTCTAGGGTAGATCGCGGGGAAGGGAAGGCGGCCGGGTGCAAGTGATGCAGCCCTGCGCGTCCTCCAGGGTAGATCCCGGGGTAAGGGAAGCCCGCCGGCCGGACGGCGCTGAGACCTGGGGCTGCTGCCCGGGACCGATCCAACAGCGAGCGCCCGGCCTTACCCGGGGTGCAGGTCCCAGCAGGCGCCGCGGTGCTCGGCGACCCGGAAACGCCCGCGCCTGCCCCGCGCCCCCGCGCCAGCGGGACAGTCTCGTTCGGGTGCTCTCCCCTGACCCAAGAATGTCACAAGACCCCCACGCGCCCCACGCTGGGAACCCGACGGCGCGGGACACACAGCCAGGTCCTTACCTGAGGCCTGCGCACCCCGACGGCGCACGCGCACGGCCGCCGCGCCCCGCCCCCAGCTCTAGCCCCGCCCCGTCCCCAGCTCTAGCCCCGCCCCACAGAGGATCCTGACCTGGCTACACTCCTGGACTCTGGCGTAGTAGCTGTGGGAAGCTGTTCACTTTACAGACAAGGTTTTCCTGCCCTCGGGCACACTCAAGTAAAAGAAAGAATTCACATCTGAACCCAGGACACCGCCTCCAAATCCTGCGCACTCTAAACCCAAAGTGTATCGCAGGAACAGCAACAACCCACCCCCTGGGACCGGCCAGAAATGTGGGACCCTGAATCAGGATCTGCCCTTCCGCCAGATCCCTAGACAATCCCTTTGCACGATAAAATTGAGAAGCGCTGCCCAATAGGCGAGAAGAGGACTGACCCAAGGGAAGGAGAGAGAAGAGAAAAATAGAAATGCCGATGAGGGGCCACGTGCAGGACAAAGCCTGGAATGCCAAACTGTGTCTACTTTCATGAAAATGTGCTCTTAGGCAAGGCTGCCCATCCTAGGAAGCTATGAATGTGTAAAACGATGGTGATAACTTTCAAGGTTTTTTTTGGTTTTTTTGCTTTTTTTTTTTACTTAATTGCTAGGTTCTGGAGTGTAAACTTGGTAGATGACAATGTCATGTCGCAATGACACACAAAATAAGCATATGTGTGTGTTCTGGTGGAAGCTCCTCCTCAGCTCCCCAGCATCCATATACCCAAAGAGTCTGGAATGTTCTGGTGGAAGCTTCACCCTCTCCCACATCTCTCTCTCTCTCCTCAAACCCTGCCTTATCTCAGAAAGCCTGCCAAACACGGCTCTGCCCCCAGAGGGTATTTAAGGTCGACAGACCCAGGACTTCCCCTCATGGTTCCCTCTCATGGCCTCTCTTCCCCTGGGACCGTCCTGGAATGCTCTGCTCAGATTAAACCTGGACCTACTAATTCGGCCTGATCTGACTTATTACAATCGGCGGCGGCGGCGGCGTTACTACCAAGGGTTTTAAACTTTTCAGTGATCTCAGTATTTGTACACACGTGTGACCTCAGTGTCACTGAATGTCCAGCGTACTACCTTCCAAGCACAGACAGTTGCTTTGGCATCATCTAGTGTGACCTGTGCTTAAAGTGAAATGCAATTCTCAATGATGTTTTATTGCATGTGATAAGTGTGTGAGCCAAGAACTCCTGGAAAGAAGCTGTGTCAGCAGAGGTTGGTAGGTTAGAACTGAAGTACTGAGGAGAGACTGGAGTAATCTCTCCAAAGGTTAATTACCTTGTCTTGAGCTAGCCAAGACCCAAATTACAACCCTCTGGAAGAGCTGGAGGCACTCTTTTTTTTTTTTTTAAGACAGGTTTTCTCGCGGGGTGGTTCTTGGCCCTGCATAAGGATTCTCACAACCACCTGTAACTCTAGCTCCAGGAGATCTGTAGCTCTCTTCTGGCCACTGTAGACACCTGCGCTCACACATACACACACAAACATACACTTCATGTAATAATAAATAAAAAATAAGGATTATTTTTATGTGTGTGTGTGTGTGTGTGTGTGTGTGTGTGTGTGAAAGGGTCTGCCAGTACCCACTGAGGCCAAACATGGGTACTGGGAACTGAACTTGTATCCTCCAGCAGAGCAGCAATCACTCTTAACCACTGAGTCACCTCTCCAGCTCCCATTATTATTATTTTTTTTTCCCTCAGTTTGGGTTTTCTTTATGGATTTTATTTCCTTTTTCAGGTCTTGAACTGTTTTGTTTCCTTCCACTGTCTGTGTTTTCCTGGAATTCTTTAAGGAATTTACTCATTTCCTTCCACTGTTTGTTTTATGGGAATTTATTCATTTCCTTTCATGTCCCATAAACGCTGTTTATGTTTCCTGGATTTCTTGACGGGATATATTAATTTCTTCTTTAAGGGTCTCTATTATCTTTTTTTTAAATTTTTTTTGTTTGGTTTGGTTTGGTTTGGTTTTTTTTTTTGTTTTTGTTTTTGTTTTGTTTTGTTTTTTTAATGCCGAATGCCGTTTATTGAAGGAGGGAGGAGGCCTTAAATACAGGCTTACAGCACAATGGGAGAACCCCGGAGGGCAGAAGTTCCCCACTATTACTTTAAACTCCAGCGTGGCTTCCACAATATCTCAAAAGAAAAAAACAACCTAAACAAAAATTATGAAGGAAGATTGTTCCATGAAAAGAAGAAAAGCTTCCTGTTTCATTTGTAGAGAATGCGTTACGGTTTCCAAGGTGACCACTGGAAAAGGCATCATGCGCCAACGCATGCTCCCACATTCAGTGTGTGTCAAGGACAGTGGCGTGAGGACCAAGAGCATCACTGGAAACAGTCTGCTTTCTCAACAAGAAATGTTTTTAAAAGTTACGACTCAGATTCTTTTTTTTTTTTTTTTTTTGGTTTTTCGAGACAGGGTTTCTCTGTGTAGCTTTGCGCCTTTCCTGGATCTCACTCTGTAGACCAGGCTGGCCTCGAACTCACAGAGATCCGCCTGCCTCTGCCTCCCGAGTGCTGGGATTAAAGGCGTGCGCCACCACCGCCCGGCACGACTCAGATTCTATAGTAAAAATCTAAGAGTGTAACGACATATAGCGAAAAGCCACTTCCTCACGGTGAATTTCTGTGAGTTCCAGGCCAGCCTGGCCTACAAAGCAAGATCCAGGACAGACACCAAAACTACACAGAGAAACCCTGTCTCAGAAAAAAAAAAAAAAAAAAAAAAAGGAGTAGCCCCATAGGTTCATACATTTGTGTGTTTAGTCATCAGGGAGTGGAATTGTCTGAAAGGACTACGAGGATTAAATTAAGAGGTGTGCCCTTGCTGGAGGAAGTGTGTCACGGGGGTGGGACTTGAGGTTTCAAAAGCCTACACCAGGCCCATTCTCTTTCTGTCTACCTGTGGATCAGGATGTGGAACTCTCAGCTGCTTCCCCAGCACCATGTCTGCCTGCATGCCACCACTCTCCCCGCCATGATAATAATGGACTAACTTCTGAAACTGTAAGCAAGCCCCCAATCCAATGCTTTCTTTGATAAGAGTTGCTTTGGGCCGGGCAGTGGTGGCGCACGCCTTTAATCCCAGCACTTGGGAGGCAGAGCCAGGCGGATCTCTGCGAGTTCGAGGCCAGCCTGGACTACCAAGTGAGTTCCAGGAAAGGCGCAAAGCTACACAGAGAAACCCTGTCTCGAAAAACCAAAAAAAAAAAAAAAAAGAGTTGCTTTGGTCACGGTGTCTCTTCAGTGACTAAGATGTGGCTCAACTTGCCATTTTTATTAGTGGCCTTGATGAAAAAATGCAGTGTCATTCAAAAATAGCTTATTTGGTGTCCTTAAAAGGCACAACTAAATCAAGAAACTTGTATGAAGCAGTAAAACATATATTTTTTTAAGATTTATTTATTATTATGTATGCAGCGTTCTGCCTGCATGTATGCCTACAGGCCAGAGTAGGCCACCAGGTATCATTACAAATGTTTGTGAGCCACCATGTGGTTGCTGGGAATTGAATTCAGGTCCTCTGGAAGAGCAGGAAGTGCTCTTAACCTCTGAGCCATCTCTCCGGCCCCCAGTAAAACATATATTAAACCCATTTTCTTTGTCCATTGTCAACATATCTGTTATAGCTGACTCCTCATTAGTGGGAGGTAAAAGAGAAAGACATTTGTAAAAATTGATAGAAGGCATTGCAAATGCCACTCTGAATTCACATTTAATGAAGTCTCATTATGCAGCATATCAAGACATTTTATGGAGAAAAGTATTACCAATGTATGTTGCACAAATCATCAAAACCATGGGTTTTATACGGGATGGGGAATTAAAATCATTACCAGTCCAGGGAATTCTTTTAAATCATTGGTGCTGACCAGAGCAACATCATTTACTTTTCAGAACTAAGATAACTAAGTTAAAGCCAAATGATAAAAAGGATTTTATTATTTGAGACATGTTATCAAGTTGTTTATGGTCTCGAAACGGATTTTATGCCAGAACTTGATGATGAAAGCTACTACACAGATTTAGCATTCTTAGTGAATTTCACCCATCATTTAAATGGGTTACGTTGTCTTTAAAGTGAAACCTAACTTATTCATGCAATGTTTCAAATCATAACAAGGTTTCAAATGGTAGTGAAATTATGGCGCTCTCAGATTAAGGCAAACAATTTTGTACCTTTTGACACATTGACTTAACATGGCCTTTGGGAACCGCAGAAACTACGTAGCTTATTTATTTCATAGAAGGATTTGAGGGGCTGGAGAGAAGGCTAAGCAGTTCAGAAGTACTCGTTTTTCTTGTGGAGGACCTGGGTTCAATTCCCAGCACCCACATGGTCGCTCACAACCATCTGCAACTCTATTTCCAGGTGATCCTGTGCTCTCTTCTGACCTCCAAGGGCACCAGGCACACACATGGTGCACATGGATGTATGCTGTCAAAGCAGTCACACACATAAAATAAAATAAATCCAAAAAAGTCAAGAATGTGAAGCAGATTTCAAGATTCCCAGGAAAATAATATTTTGGTAAATTTCTGACTCTATTTTCAGTCAATGTAGATATACTAGATCTGCAGGCAGACATCCAACTTAATGAAAAATTTGATTGTTTCTTTCCTAGATTTTTACAGGTCTTGTCTTCCAAGAAACATGGATCTCTCACTTCATAGTCACACCGCACTCTTTGCTTTTACCACACCTACAATTGTGAGCAACTGTTTTCAAAAATGAAACAACTCAGTGAGATTGTGAAACTCCGGATGAGCACTTTGAGAACTCACTGAGAATTGTAACCACTTCCGTCCAACCACATATCCATGCAGGGGGACCTCAAAAGCAGCATCAGATAGCCCGCTATCTGACTGCTCTGTGTTGCCCTCTTTAATAATAATTTTTTTAAAAAATCAGTGATATTTTATTACATAGATATGTTCATTTTCTTTGTTGGTGATCACATATGGTTCCT